GAAAGGCTGACTTTTTAGAACAAAATGAATAGTTAAAGGACTTAAACTAAACCAAATTGTCTGAAATTTTGTACAGTAATTAAAAACCCGATAAATTTTCAATCTATCAACTCAAAATATTATTACAGCTTTTAAATTTTGTGCGCGAGCCATTTTTAGTTTGTTGGAAAAGACACACCCCCCTGGTTCACAAAATTTGAGTTCGAGAAATTTTTTTCATTATTTTACATTATAAGTACCCAAAGAAGCTATATATATAAAAAAACAGATACAAATAGGTGTTTTGCGAAATTGAGAGCAATTTCAAATCTGTTCAGTTTTTTTTTATACACCCTGTATATACATGAACTTGTGGTTAGAGCTCGACAACCTGACCTCTGTAACTCAGTTGGTTAGAGCGCTGCACCGGAATTGCAGGGCTGCAAATTCGATTCCTGTCAGGGATCTACAGTTGCATTTTTCGCAGCTGTTCCTGGTTATGTCTAATAAATGTGCATACATTTCCACTCGATAATTTCCATCTACAAGATTATTCAAATACTATACATGGTCGTTTCGAGTACAATTTATCCTTTCAATCAATTTGTCCTTTACCCAGAAATCGCTCTCTCGACTGGGAGCCTCGTTTTCACGGAGCATGGGCGAACAGTCTTTCGTCTTGATTCACGAAAGAGAAGCTTTCAATACAACAAACAATATGCTGACAACAGACGCAACACAAAACATAGGGACATTAAAGTTGGGGACAGTGCATTAATACGACAAAAATGAAGTAGCAAGCTTTCAACAAACTTCAGTAGTAAACTTTTAATATACTGTAATTATAAAAAACAACTCCAGAATTACAGTGCGCGACAGCAACGGACATACTATATTACTATTACTAGAAATGTATCACATTTCAAACGCATACCAAATTAACAGAACGTTGAAATTGACACGGATGACGAAAGCAACAACAACAACAACAACAACAACAACAACAACAACAACAACAACAACAACAACAACAACAACAACAACAACAACAACAACAACCTTGACAACAACAACAACCTTGACAACAACAACCTTGACGACGACGACGACGACCACAACAACAACAACAACAACAACAACAACAACAACAACGACCTTGATGACAACAACGACCTTGATGACAACAACAACCTTGATGACAACAACAACCTTGATGACAACAACAACCTTGATGACAACAACAACCTTGATGACAACAACAACCTTGATGACAACAACAACAACAACAACAACAACAACAACAACAACAACAACAACAACAACAACAACAACAACAACAACAACAACAACAACAACAACAACAACAACAACAACAACAACAACAACAACAACAACAACAACAACAACAACAACA